TTAGTGTCAGTGGGAGGAATAGTGCCCCAGCTCATTAATCAGTGGGAGGAATAGTGCCCCATCATTGGTGTCAGTGGGAAGAATCGTGCCCCATCATTGGTGTCAGAAGGGAGGAATAGTGTCCCATCATTAGTGTCAGTGGGAGCAATAGTGCTCCATCATTAGTGTCAGTGGGAGGAATAGCACCCCATCATTGGTGACAGTGGGAGGAATAGCGCCCCATCATTGGTATCAGTGGCAGGAATTGCGCCCCATCATTGGTGTCAGTGGGAGGAATAGCGCCCCATCATTGGTATCAGTGGAAGGAATAGTGCCCCATCATTGGTGTCAGTGGGGAGGAGGAATAGTGCCCCATCGATTGGTGTCAGTGGGGAGGAGGAATAGTGCCCCATGGTTGGTGTCCATGGGGGAGGAATAGTGCCCCATCATTGGTGTCAGTGGGGATAAATAGTGCCCCATCATTGGTATCAGTGGGGAGAAAAGTGCCCCATCATTGGTATCAGTGGGGGAGAAAAGTGCCCCATCATGGTGTCAGTGGGGGAGTAATAGTGCCCCATCATTGTGTCAGTGGGGAGGAGGAATAGTGCCCCATGGTTGGTGTCAGTGGGGGAGGAATAGTGCCCCATCATTGGTGTCAGTGGGGGAGGAATAGTGCCCCATCATTGGTATCAGTGGGGATAAAAATGCCCCATCATTGGTGTCAGTGGGGGAGGAATAGTGCCCCATCGTTGGTGTCAGTGGGAAGGAAGAATAGTGCCCCATCGTTGGTGTCAGTGGGAAGGAAGAATAGTGCCCCATCGTTAGTGTCAGTGGGGGGGAGAGTAGCGGCTGCTCCTTCTTTCAGTTCGGCCCGCTTGATTTTCGCGGGGCCGTTCGGCTCCGCCTCCTCGCCGGTGATTGGTCGCCTGTGTGCCTTTCCAGTGCTGGCGCCCAATCACCGGTGAGGAGGCGGAGCCGAGCGGGCGGCGGGACCATCGAGCGGCCGAACTAAAAGAAGGAGCAGCCGCGCTTCCTGGACCGGATCGTCGTGGGACCGGAGCCAGGTAAGGTACAGCAGCCCGTCTGCCCACCCCTGTACTTGGTGTAAGTTGGAGGGGGGGGGGGGCGTCGCCGCCCCTCGAAAAAAGTGCCGCCCTGACACCGGCTCGGCGTATAAGACGACCCCCGACTTTTCAAAAGATTTTCAGGGGTTGAAAAGTGTCTTATACGCCGGCAAATACGGTACTTCCATTGTCCTTTGGGTTTAACAGGTCTTCAAAGGCTGTGATAATAATCTTGTAGACAATAGGTGGTGGTGTGAATGCTGCGGAGCTGGAGGTAGAACTGGAGTGCCAAATGTATTTCATATTTATATCTAGAAATGGCTGCTCCATTTTCCCTTACAATCCCTCCTCTTGGACATTATATTGTCCAAACAATTATCCCTTCCTAAAAAGAAATTTGAGAAACATATTTTGCTTTACAATTCCTCCCTTAAATTCTCATACATCTCACTTTGTTTGCCTAATATTTCTTTCTAGTTCATATTTCTCCTGATTTATACATCCAATTTACTTCTGCAGAAAAATCTAATTTTGCTTCACAAAGGCTGAAAAATGCAAAACATTAAACAAAATTAAATATCAAAAAGTCTAAAAAAACCTGTGTGTTGGGCTAACTGTTTATGAACGCCAAGTCTTTAGTTGATTCCTCCAATGTATCCTTGACAGCTAGTCCTCCATAAGACTGTACTGCAACACCTAAGAACTCGTACAATGTTCATACATAATATTTTCTTCAGGACCATCGCAGTCCACATGACAAGAAACTTCCGGTAGGTGTGCAGATCTGCTGCAATTATAGCAAATTGAGCTTTGACTTCTATTCATGGACAGCTGAAATGATAAGCGGAAATGTTCTTCAGATACTTAAAAGTTTTAAAACCATTTTTCTCCATCACTGTTGTTTGTGGCTGATGTCAAGAAGTCCAGGAATAAGGGAGGATATTTTTGAAGATGGCGTCATTCAGATTGCTAGTCCAACATTAGGTATTTAACAAAAATGCCCATGAAGCCATGGCGTTTTTATTTTTCTGCCGAAGTAAATCTGTGTTATAGAGACAATAAGACCTAGAAAAAAAAGAAATACATCTTAATACGAGGAGAAACCACTCTCACTTTGTATAATGTGTTACTCAGTCGTCATCCAAACTTAACTACACTATTCATAATTCAATCATAAACAATCAGCCATCTTAAAAAGGGCCTATCATGTATGGCTGGGATCAGTGACCAGGAACATGTAAGTACAGAGACAGGAGACTTGGAGAGCACAGAATACAGGACTTAGAAGAATGGCAGGAGGACAGTTCAGCACTGGGGCACTGGTCTTAAAATCAAGCAGGACACAAAATGCTAGTAAGAAACACTTGTAGCACTGGGGATCAGGGCTCATAGGGAATGCAGGCACACAGGATACAGCTGATATATCAAGGATTCTAAGACAGGAAGGATACCCAACAGTATCATCTGGGGAGAACACAGCATGTCCGAACATGCAACAAGGGTGAGGGCCCTTGTAAGGGCCGAGGCGCAGAGTCTAAGGAACTGCCTTGTCTTCTCCAGAGCTCTTGAAGGTAGAGATGGGTTTGCTGCAGACAGTCATCAGGTTGCGGTTCTCGTACTCACCCAGGCAGGAAGCTACTGGGAATTACTAACTGATAAATAAGAATCCCTTGCAGCGATGAGGCACAGGGATCACTGGACAGTAGGGAGCTCAGTTCAAGCTGACATGCATAGAAACACACAGACACTGGGAACAGAAAACTAGGAGTAGGTAGTAAAGCAAGCAAACAAACAGGAGTCTAAGAGCAGATAGAGATGTACGGTGACACCAAACAGGAAACAGGATTGAAACACATTCGGAGACACAGAGACAATCTGCTAGGACCTTTAGGGTGTAAAGCCTGAGGCAATGAGCCACATTAGAATGAGAAGAGATGGCCTGGCTGGGCTCATTAAATCAGCAGGAGGTTAAGCAGCCTTAAACACGTCTTGTGGGACAATAGGCAACAGCAGAACCTTATAATTTAAAGTCATGGAACTACATGTACCAGCATACCCCTGCTGCTCTTTGGAAATAGAGGAGACAGATCTGAAGAAAAGCTGAAGACCCTGACATAGCTTTAATTTAAAATCTTGACAATATCTAACTAAGCTTAACAATCAATATATTAACACTAACACACATTCATTATATTTCTTAGGATATTATAGGTGTTAAAATAGAGAAACAATTATTCAACTCAATAGTCAAACTTTCACATATAATATAAAAACTTTATAAGATAGAAAATGCTCAGTTCTATTGTCACTGGTATCAGGGGATTTCTGGCTTTGTCTGGTTCGTTTGGGGATCACTCTTAGATTGTTGAACTCGTTAATACCAGAGCCCATACATGTTAGATCAGAACACACAACAAAGAAGATCTAACACCCAATAAATAGGCAACTAGGAACTTCCAAAGAAGGTACAAACTTAACCAACTACACCGATATCAGCTAATGGGGTGTGAAACATTTAAGTATTTACAAAAGAAAACAGACTAATAAAACAAGGAAGAAAACAATTTGGAACAATACTTCCATTGGTTGATTTTTTTTTTTTTATGAAGGCTGTGATCTTCCGTTCTGAAAGCCTGAAAGAAGTCCAACCAAGGCATTGATCTAATCTGATGAATAAGCATCAATTACATTTAGTAACAAACATGACACTTTCCTCCAAATAAACCAATGGTTAAAGATCTAACAACAAAACATACAGTACATACTTTTAAAATTTTCTCTTAGTTGTTCTAACAGTGCACTTTTCTAATACCAAAAATTATTGACGTCAAATTAATTATTACCACGTGGATTTTGTTTATGGTATACCATTAAGAAAAAAAAAAATTATTATTATTATACACCATGGTTAAAAATGAGCAGCTCAATGTAAACCTTTTAGTAAGCTACCATTTGTGTGCAAGAGTTATACTTCACCATACTGAACACATTGGAAACTTCCAAAACTGTATCTTCTAAAAAAACAAACAAACACAAGATAGTGAATACACATAACAATTCACTATTAACATCTGATTTCCTTTTAGAGTTCACTTGGCTCAGTAAATTTGCATGACCATGCAGCTGTTTCTCATTCACAAACCATGCAATTAACCTGTGTTAAAGAAAAGGGGGGTCAGCACTCGGTGGGCTGTCAGCACTAGAGATGAGCGAAGTATTCAAAATTTCGATTCGGCTGATTCGGCGAATTCGAGGAATAAATTCGAGGCGAATATATTCGCTGCGAATTTAACTTTAAAAAGGGTATTTCTAGGCTTCAGAGAGCCTTTATATTAGTGCAGAACACTGTACCTTTAATTTAAATGCCCTTGGAGTCTGCTGGGGAAGAGAAATAATACTGTCAGTCAGTATGACATGCAGATGAGTGCCGTCGATCTTAGAATCACCGCACACTTCACTCATTTGGGCAGTCACGGGGCCAAAACCAGAGTGTGGAGCCACAGTGTGGCGGTGGAGGGCAGCAGCAATGGGAGGCCATACAGCACCCTATGACAAAATGGAACCCACCAGCAGTGTGAGGAGACCTGAAAGTGGCACATGGCAGAGTGTGGCGATGGAGACAGCAGCAATGGGAGGCCGTACAGGGACCCATGAGACACTCTGGACCTGGCAGCAGCATGAGGAGTCGGTACGGGGGTCCATGGCAGATTACGGGCCTGGCAGCAGCAATGGGAGGCCCGTAATCTGCCAGCACCCTATGACAAAATGGAACCCACCAGCAGTGTGAGGAGACCTGAAAGTGGCACATGGCAGAGTGTGGCGATGGAGACAGCAGCAATGGGAGGCCGTACAGGGACCCATGACACACTCTGGACCTGGCAGCAGCATGAGGAGGCGGTACGGGGGCCCATGGCAGATTACGGGCCTGGCAGCAGCAATGGGAGGCCCGTAATCTGCCAGCACCCTATGACAAAATGGAACCCACCAGCAGTGTGAGGAGACCTGAAAGTGGCACATGGCAGAGTGTGGCGATGGAGACAGCAGCAATGGGAGGCCGTACAGGGACCCATGTACACTCTGGACCTGGCATGAGAGGAGGCGGTACAGGGGCCCCTGGGCCTGGCAGCAGCATGAGGAGGAGTCGGTACGGGGGCCCATGGCAGATTACGGGCCTGGCAGCAGCAATGGGAGGCCCGTAATCTGCCAGCACCCTATGACAAAATGGAACCCACCAGCAGTGTGAGGAGACCTGAAAGTGGCACATGGCAGAGTGTGGCGATGGAGACAGCAGCAATGGGAGGCCGTACAGGGACCCATGAGACAGACTCTGGACCTGGCAGCAGCATGAGGAGGCGGTACAGGGGCCCATGGCAGATTACGGGCCTGGCAGCAGCAATGGGAGGCCCGTAATCTGCCAGCACCCTATGACAAAATGGAACCCACCAGCAGTGTGAGGAGACCTGAAAGTGGCACATGGCAGAGTGTGGCGATGGAGAGACAGCAGCAATGGGAGGCCGTACAGGGACCCATGAGACACTCTGGACCTGGCAGCAGCATGAGGAGGCGGTACAGGGGCCCATGGCAGATTACGGGCCTGGCAGCAGCAATGGGAGGCCCGTAATCTGCCAGCACCCTATGACAAAATGGAACCCACCAGCAGTGTGAGGAGACCTGAAAGTGCACATGGCAGAGTGTGGCGATGGAGACAGCAGCAATGGGAGGCCGTACAGGGACCCATGAGACACTCTGGACCTGGCAGCAGCATGAGGAGGCGGTACGGGGGCCCATGGCAGATTTACGGGCCTGGCAGCAGCAATGGGAGGCCCGTAATCTGCCAGCACCCTATGACAAAATGGAACCCACCAGCAGTGTGTGAGGAGACCTGAAAGTGGCACATGGCAGAGTGTGTGGCGATGGAGACAGCAGCAATGGGAGGCCGTACAGGGACCCATGAGACACTCTGGACCTGGCAGCAGCATGAGGAGGCGGTACGGGGGCCCATGGCAGATTACGGGCCCTGGCAGCAGCAATGGGAGGCCCGTAATCTGCCAGCACCCTATGACAAAAAATGGAAACCACCAGCAGTGTGAGGAGACCTGAAAGTGGCACATGGCAGAGTGTGGCGATGGAGACAGCAGCAATGGGAGGCCGTACAGGGACCCATGAGACACTCTGGACCTGGCAGCAGCATGAGGAGGCGGTACAGGGGGGGGCCCATGGCAGATTACGGGCCTGGCAGCAGCAATGGGAGGCCCGTAATCTGCCAGCACCCTATGACAAAATGGAACCCACCAGCAGTGTGAGGAGACCTGAAAGTGGCACATGGCAGAGTGTGGCGATGGAGACAGCAGCAATGGGAGGCCGTACAGGGACCCATGAGACACTCTGGACCTGGCAGCAGCATGAGGAGGCGGTACGGGGGCCCATGGCAGATTACGGGCCTGGCAGCAGCAATGGGAGGCCCGTAATCTGCCAGCACCCTATGACAAAATGAAACCCACCAGCAGTGTGAGGAGACCTGAAAGTGGCACATGGCAGAGTGTGGCGATGGAGACAGCAGCAATGGGAGGCCGTACAGGGACCCATGAGACACTCTGGACCTGGCAGCAGCATGAGGAGGCGGTACAGGGGCCCATGGCAGATTACGGGGCCTGGCAGCAGCAATGGGAGGCCCGTAATCTGCCAGCACCCTATGACAAAATGGAACCCACCAGCAGTGTGAGGAGACCTGAAAGTGGCACATGGCAGAGTGTGGCGATGGAGACAGCAGCAATGGGGCCGTACAGGGACCCATGACACACTACTGGACCTGGCAGCAGCATGAGGAGGCGGTACGGGGGCCCATGGCAGATTACGGGCCTGGCAGCAGCAATGGGAGGCCCGTAATCTGCCAGCACCCTATGACAAAATGGAACCACCAGCAGTGTGAGGAGACCTGAAAGTGGCACATGGCAGAGTGTGGCGATGGAGACAGCAGCAATGGGAGGCCGTACAGGGACCCATGAGACACTCTGGACCTGGCAGCAGCAGCATGAGGAGGCGGTACGGGGGCCCATGGCAGATTACGGGCCTGGCAGCAGCAATGGGAGGCCCGTAATCTGCCAGCACCCTATGACAAAATGGAACCCACCAGCAGTGTGAGGAGACCTGAAAGTGGCACATGGCAGAGTGTGGCGATGGAGACAGCAGCAATGGGAGGCCGTACAGGGACCCATGAGACACTCGGGACCTGGCAGCAGCATGAGGAGGCGGTACGGGGGCCCATGGCAGATTACGGGCCTGGCAGCAGCAATGGGAGGCCCGTAATCTGCCAGCACCCTATGACAAAATGGAACCCACCAGCAGTGTGAGGAGACCTGAAAGTGGCACATGGCAGAGTGTGGCGATGGAGACAGCAGCAATGGGAGGCCGTACAGGGACCCATGAGACACTCTGGACCTGGCAGCAGCATGAGGAGGCGGTACGGGGGCCCATGGCAGATTACGGGCCTGGCAGCAGCAATGGGAGGCCCGTAATCTGCCAGCACCCTATGACAAAATGGAACCCACCAGCAGTGTGAGGAGACCTGAAAGTGGCACATGGCAGAGTGTGGCGATGGAGACAGCAGCAATGGGAGGCCGTACAGGGACCCATGACACACTCTGGACCTGGCAGCAGCATGAGGAGGCGGTACGGGGGCCCATGGCAGATTACGGGCCTGGCAGCAGCAATGGGAGGCCCGTAATCTGCCAGCACCCTATGACAAAATGGAACCCACCAGCAGTGTGAGGAGACCTGAAAGTGGCACATGGCAGAGAGTGTGGCGATGGAGACAGCAGCAATGGGAGGCCGTACAGGGACCCATGAGACACTCTGGACCTGGCAGCAGCATGAGGAGGCGGTACGGGGGCCCATGGCAGATTGAGGAGGCGGGTACGGGGGGCCTGGCAGATTACGGGCCTGGCAGCAGCAATGGGAGGCCCGTAATCTGCCAGCACCCTATGACAAAATGGAACCCACCAGCAGTGTGTGAGGAGACCTGAAAGTGGCACATGGCAGAGTGTGGCGATGGAGACAGCAGCAATGGGAGGCCGTACAGGGACCCATGAGACACTCTGGACCTGGCAGCAGCATGAGGAGGCGGTACGGGGGCCCATGGCAGATTACGGGCCTGGCAGCAGCAATGGGAGGCCCGTAATCTGCCAGCACCCTATGACAAAATGGAACCCACCAGCAGTGTGAGGAGACCTGAAAGTGGCACATGGCAGAGTGTGGCGATGGAGACAGCAGCAATGGGAGGCCGTACAGGGACCCATGACACACTCTGGACCTGGCAGCAGCATGAGGAGGCGGTACGGGGGCCCATGGCAGATTACGGGCCTGGCAGCAGCAATGGGAGGCCCGTAATCTGCCAGCACCCTATGACAAAATGGAACCCACCAGCAGTGTGAGGAGACCTGAAAGTGGCACATGGCAGAGTGTGGCGATGGAGACAGCAGCAATGGGAGGCCGTACAGGGACCCATGACAGACTCTGGACCTGGCAGCAGCATGAGGAGGCGGTACGGGGGCCCATGGCAGATTACGGGCCTGGCAGCAGCAATGGGAGGCCCGTAATCTGCCAGCACCCTATGACAAAATGGAACCCACCAGCAGTGTGAGGAGACCTGAAAAGTGGCACATGGCAGAGTGTGGCGATGGAGACAGCAGCAATGGGAGGCCGTACAGGGACCCATGAGACACTCTGGACCTGGCAGCAGCATGAGGAGGCGGTACAGGGGCCCATGGCAGATTACGGGCCTCAGCAGCAATGGGAGGCCCGTAATCTGCCAGCACCCTATGACAAAATGGAACCCACCAGCAGTGTGAGGAGACCTGAAAGTGGCACATGGCAGAGTGTGGCGATGGAGACAGCAGCAATGGGAGGCCGTACAGGGACCCATGACAGACACTCTGGACGGGCCTGGCAGCAGCATGAGGAGGCGGTACGGGGGCCCATGGCAGATTACGGGCCTGGCAGCAGCAATGGGAGGCCCGTAATCTGCCAGCACCCTATGACAAAATGGAAACCACAGCAGCAGTGTGAGGAGACCTGAAAGTGGCACATGGCAGAGTGTGGCGATGGAGACAGCAGCAATGGGAGGCCGTACAGGGACCCATGAGACACTCTGGACCTGGCAGCAGCATGAGGGGCGGTACGGGGGCCCATGGCAGATTACGGGCCTGGCAGCAGCAATGGGATGGGGCCCGTAATCTGCCAGCACCCTATGACAAAATGGAACCCACCAGCAGTGTGAGGAGACCTGAAAGTGGCACATGGAGTGTGGCGATGGAGACAGCAGCAATGGCACAGGGATGGAGACAGCAGCAATGGGAGGCCGTACAGGGACCCCATGAACTGGATTCTGGACCTGGCAGCAGCATGAGGAGGGACGGTTCGGGGGCCCATGGCAGATTACGGGCCCTGGCAGCAGCAGCAATGGGAGGCCCGTAATCTGCCAGCACCCTATGACAAAATGGAACCCCCAGCAGTGTGAGGAGACCTGAAAGTGGCACATGGCAGAGTGTGGCGATGGAGACATTCTGGCCCCCTGGCCACGCTTGACTTTCTGGCCACATAGTCGACATACGGCTACGTTTACTTCCTCGGGCCCTTGAGCAAAAATTGCCACACCGCCGTAGTAGGAAACTTTGCCCCCGATTACTCCTCACTGGCTGACTGCACTTCCTCCGTGCACACCGGCACCACTACTGGCCGTGGTGGTACCCTGCAGTGGATGCTGGTGCCAGTACTCCGTGGCTGTTTGCCCCCTGAGTAACTGACACTGCTGCGACCCTGCTGCCTCCCTGGGCAACCCACCGACTGTTTTGCTCGCTGCCAAGCTGGCACCCTCTTCTCCTGATGATGCTGAGAGCCTGAAGCAATAGCCTGAGTGACGACGAGGCTGCCAAGTGCGATCAGCCCTCATCATCATCAATTAGGGTCTCCGCCTCACTACTAGCCCAGTAACGGCTGCTGTGTGGGTCAGGAGAACAGACTGTGTCTCTAGACCGGCTACCGAGCCACTCTCCTGCCAGTACTTCTTGCCTGGCTGCTGAAGAGGCGGATGTCTCCCCCCGTTCCTGAACCCTCTGTTAGCTCTTCCTCTGTACAGTGGGGCTGAGCCCACAGCATGCGATACTTCGCTTGGTGAGGGAACACCAAAGGACTGTGTGGGGCAGGTAGAGGACACGTGATTTCAGTGGGCTTGTCCCGGGCCATGCCAACTAACGGTTGTGTCTGACGTACCCACCGACCGTTGGCTGTAGGTGTCAGAGGTGACCTGGGAAGAGGGAAGTGTCCCGAGCCAACCAATCGATGACGGCAGGGTCCGGTGGAGTACACAATTCTGGATGACACCGGGAGCACTGTGTCCTCTGGCTAACGACTAGTGCTGCCTCGACCCCTTTCCCTGCTGCCACGTCTGCTCGCTCCTAAAAATGCCTCCTCTGACACTCTCACTGAGTGTTGTCTGACATACTCTTTAATTCAACGATTCTGTGTCCCTGAGTAACAATTCTGTGTCCTGTGTCCTGTGTCCCTGAGTAACAATTTCTGTCCCTCAGTCCAATTCTGTGTCCCTGAGTAACAATTCTGTGTCCCTGAGTAAACAATTCTGTGTCAATGTCCCTCAGTAACAATTCTGTGTCCCTCAGTAACAATTCTGTGTCCCTCAGTAACAATTCTGTGTGTCCCTGAGTAACAATTCTGTGTCCCTGAGTAACAATTCTGTGTCCCTGAGTAACAATTCTGTGTCCCTCAGTAACAATTCTGTGTCCCTGAGTAACAATTCTGTGTCCCTGTCCCTGTCCCAGTAACAATTCTGTGTCCCTGAGTAACATTCTGTGTCCCTGAGTAACATTCTGTGTCCCTGAGTAACAATTCTGTGTGTCCCTCAGTAACAATTCTGTGTCTGTCCCTGAGTAAACAATTCTGTGTCCTCAGTAACAATTCTGTGTCCCTCTGAGTAACAATTCTGAGTAACAATTCTGTCCCTGAGTAACAATTCTGTGTCCCTCAGTAACAATTCTGTGTCCCTCAGTAACAATTCTGTGTCTGTCCCTGAGTAACAATTCTGTGTCCCTGAGTAACAATTCTGTGTCCCTGAGTAACAATTCTGTGTCCCTGAGTAACAATTCTGTGTCCCTGAGTAACAATTCTGTGTCCCTGAGTAACAATTTCTGTGTCCCTCAGTAACAATTCTGTGTGTCCTGAGTAACAATTCTGTGTGTGTCCCTGAGTAACAATTCTGTGTCCCTGAGTAACAATTCTGTGTCCCTGAGTAACAATTCTGTGTCCCTGAGTAACAATTCTGTGTCCCTGAGTAACAATTCTGTGTGTCCCTGAGTAACAATTCTGTGTCCCTGAGTAACAATTCTGTGTCCCTGAGTAACAATTCTGTGTCCCTGAGTAACAATTCTGTCCCTGAGTAACAATTCTGTGTCCCTGAGTAACAATTCTGTGTCCCTGAGTAACAATTCTGTGTCCCTCAGTAACAATTCTGTGTCCCTCAGTAGTACAATTCTGTGTCCCTCAGTAACAATTCTGTGTGTCCCTGAGTAACAAATTCTGTGTCCCTGAGTAACAATTCTGTGTCCCTGAGTAACAATTCTGTGTCCCTGAGTAACAATTCTGTGTCCCTGAGTAACATTTCTGTGTCCCTGAGTAACAATTCTGTGTCCCTGAGTAACAATTCTGTGTCCCTCAGTAACAATTCTGTGTCCCTGAGTAACAATTCTGTGTCCCTGAGTAACAATTCTGTGTCCCTGAGTAACAATTCTGTGTCCCTGAGTAACAATTCTGTGTCCCTGAGTAACAATTCTGTGTCCCTGAGTAACAATTCTGTGTCCCTCTGAGTAACAATTCTGTGTCTGTCCCTGAGTAACAATTCTGTGTCCCTGAGTAACAATTCTGTTCTGTGTCCCTGAGTAACAATTCTGTGTCCCTCTGAGTAACAATTCTGTGTCCCTGAGTAACAATTCTGTGTCCCTCAGTAACAATTCTGTGTCCCTCAGTAACAATTCTGTGTGTCCCTGAGTAACAATTCTGTGTCCCTGAGTAACAATTCTGTGTCCCTGAGTAACAATTCTGTGTCCCTCAGTAACAATTCTGTGTCCCTCAGTAACAATTCTGTGTCCCTGAGTAACAATTCTGTGTCCCTGAGTAACAATTCTGTGTCCCTGAGTAACAATTCTGTGTCCCTGAGTAACAATTCTGTGTCCCTGAGTAACAATTCTGTGTCCCTCAGTAACAATTCTGTGTCCCTGAGTAACAATTCTGTGTCCCTGAGTAACAATTCTGTGTCCCTGAGTAACAATTCTGTGTCCCTCAGTAACAATTCTGTGTCCCTCAGTAAACAATTCTGTGTCCCTGAGTAACAATTCTGTGTCCCTGAGTAACATTCTGTGTCCCTGAGTAACAATTCTGTGTCCCTGAGTAACAATTCTGTGTCCCTCAGTAACAATTCTGTGTCTGTCCCTGAGTAACAATTCTGTGTCCCTGAGTAACAATTCTGTGTCCCTGAGTAACAATTCTGTGTCCCTGAGTAACAATTCTGTGTCCCCCTGAGTAACAATTCTGTGTCCCTCAGTAACAATTCTGTGTCTGTCCCTGAGTAACAATTCTGTGTCCCTGAGTAACAATTCTGTGTCCCTCAGTAACAATTCTGTGTCCCTGAGTAACAATTCTGTGTCCCTGAGTAACAATTCTGTGTGTCCCTGAGTAAACAATTCTGTGTCCCTGAGTAACAATTCTGTGTCCCTCAGTAACAATTCTGTGTCTGTCCCTGAGTAACAATTCTGTGTCCCTCAGTAACAATTCTGTGTCCCTCAGTAACAATTCTGTGTGTCCCTGAGTAACAATTCTGTGTCCCTGAGTAACAATTCTGTGTCCCTGAGTAACAATTCTGTGTCCCTGAGTAACAATTCTGTGTCCCTGAGTAACAATTCTGTGTCCCTGAGTAACAATTCTGTGTCTGTCCCTGAGTAACAATTCTGTGTCCCTCAGTAACAATTCTGTGTCCCTCAGTAACAATTCTGTGTGTCCCTGAGTAACAATTCTGTGTCCCTGAGTAACAATTCTGTGTCCCTGAGTAACAATTCTGTGTCCCTGAGTAACAATTCTGTGTCCCTGAGTAACAATTCTGTGTCCCTGAGTAACAATTCTGTGTCCCTGAGTAACAATTCTGTGTCCCTGAGTAACAATTCTGTGTCCCTGAGTAACAATTCTGTGTCCCTCAGTAACAATTCTGTGTCCCTCAGTAACAATTCTGTGTAACAATTCTGTCCCTGAGTAACAATTCTGTGTCCCCTGAGTAACATTCTGTGTCCCTGAGTAACAATTCTGTGTCCCTGAGTAACAATTCTGTGTCCCTGAGTAACAATTCTGTGTCCCTGAGTAACAATTCTGTGTCCCTCAGTAACAATTCTGTGTCCCTGAGTAACAATTCTGTGTCCCTCAGTAACAATTCTGTGTCTGTCCCTGAGTAACAATTCTGTGTCCCTCAGTAACAATTCTGTGTCCCTCAGTAACAATTCTGTGTCCCTCAATTCTGTGTAACAATTCTGTGTCTGTCCCTGAGTAACAATTCTGTGTCCCTCAGTAAACAATTCTGTGTCCCTCAGTAACAATTCTGTGTCTGAGTAACAATTCCCTGAGTAACAATTCTGTGTCCCTGAGTAACAATTCTGTGTCCCTCTGAGTAACAATTCTGTGTCCCTGAGTAACAATTCTGTGTCCCTGAGTAACAATTCTGTGTCCCTGAGTAACAATTCTGTGTCCCTGAGTAACATTCTGTGTCCCTCAGTAACAATTCTGTGTCCCTCAGTAACAATTCTGTGTCTGTCCCTGAGTAACAATTCTGTGTCCCTCAGTAACAATTCTGTGTCCCTCAGTAACAATTCTGTCTGTCCCTGAGTAACAATTCTCTGTGTCCCTGAGTAACAATTCTGTGTTGTCCCTGAGTAACAATTCTGTGTCCTCTGAGTAACATTTCTGTGTCCCTGAGTAACAATTCTGTGTCCCTGAGTAACAATTCTGTGTCCCTCAGTAACAATTCTGTGTCTGTCCCTGAGTAACAATTCTGTGTCCCTGAGTAACAATTCTGTGTCCCTGAGTAACAATTCTGTGTCCCTGAGTAACAATTCTGTGTCCCTGAGTAACAATTCTGTGTCCCTGAGTAACAATTCTGTGTCCCTCAGTAAACAATTCTGTGTCCCTGAGTAACAATTCTGTGTCCCTCAGTAACAATTCTGTGTCCCTGAGTAACCCTGTCCAGTAACAATTCTGTGTCCCTCAGTAACAATTCTGTGTCCCTCAGTAACAATTCTGTGTCCCTGAGTAACAATTCTGTGTCTGTCCCTGAGTAACAATTCTGTGTCCCTGAGTAACAAGTTCTGTGTCCCTGAGTAACAATTCTGTGTCCCTCAGTAACAATTCTGTGTCCCTGAGTAACAATTCTGTGTCCCTCAGTAACAAATTCTGTGTCCCTCAGTAACAATTCTGTGTCTGTCCCTGAGTAACAATTCTGTGTCCCTGAGTAACAATTCTGTGTCCCTCAGTAACAATTCTGTGTGTCCCTGAGTAACAATTCTGTGTCCCTGAGTAACAGTTCTGTGTCCCTGAGTAACAATTCTGTGTCCCCTCAGTAAGTAACAATTCTGTGTCCCTAAGTAACGATTCTGTGTCCCTAAAGTATCTGTGGCCCTAACTCTGTCCCTAATACAGATTCTGTCTGTCTCTCTTGAATGACGGAGGCAAATGGAGAATTGTAAGATGGCCGTAACAATTTATAGCTCCACCATTACACATGCTGGCTGGCTGGCTGCTGATTGGCTAATGCGATCTGTGTCCCTGAGTAACATTCTGTGTCAGCGCGTCTTGTCTGCGCGCCTTTCTGACATCCCCCTGAGCCAACAATTCTGTGCCGCCATTTTTGGAAAAAAATTTCTGTGTCCCTGAGTAACAATTCTGTGTCCCTGAGTAACAATTCTGTGTCCCTCAGTAACAATTCTGTGTCCCTCAGTAACAATTCTGTGTCTGTCCCTGAGTAACAATTCTGTGTCCCTCAGTAACAATTCTGTGTCCCTCAGTAACAATTCTGTGTCCCTCAGTAACAATTCTGTGTCTGTCCCTGAGTAACAATTCTGTGTCCCTGAGTAACAATTCTGTGTCCCTGAGTAACAATTCTGTGTCCCTGAGTAACAATTCTGTGTCCCTCAGTAACAATTCTGTGTCCCTCAGTAACAATTCTGTGTCCCTCAGTAACAATTCTGTGTCTGTCCCTGAGTAACAATTCTGTGTCCCTCAGTAACAATTCTGTGTCCCTCAGTAACAATTCTGTGTCTGTCCCTGAGTAACAATTCTGTGTCCCTGAGTAACAGTTCTGTGTCCCTGAGTAACAATTCTGTGTCCCTGAGTAACAGTTCTGTGTCCCTGAGTAACAATTCTGTGTCCCTGAGTAACAATTCTGTGTCCCTGAGTAACAATTCTGTGTCCCTCAGTAACAATTCTGTGTCCCTCAGTAACAATTCTGTGTCCCTCAGTAACAATTCTGTGTCTGTCCCTGAGTAACAGTTCTGTGTCCCTGAGTAACAATTCTGTGTCCCTGAGTAACAGTTCTGTGTCCCTGAGTAACAATTCTGTGTCCCTGAGTAACAATTTCTGTGTCCCTCAGTAACAATTCTGTGTCCCTCAGTAACAATTCTGTGTCCCTGAGTAACAATTCTGTGTCCCTCAGTAACAATTCTGTGTCTGTCCCTGAGTAACAATTCTGTGTCCCTCAGTAACAATTCTGTGTCTGTCCCTGAGTAACAGTTCTGTGTCCCTGAGTAACAGTTCTGTCTGTGTCCCTGAGTACAATTCTGTGTCCCTCAGTAACAATTCTATGTCCCTTAGTAACAATTCTGTGTCCCTCAGTAACAATTCTGTGTCCCTCAGTAACAATTCTGTGTCTGTCCCTGAGTAACAGTTCTGTGTGTCCCCTGAGTAACAGTTCTGTGTCCCTGAGTATCAATTCTGTGTCCCTCAGTAACAATTCTATGTCCCTTAGTAACAATTCTGTGTCCCTCAGTAACAATTCTGTGTCCCTCAGTAACAATTCTGTGTCTGTCCCTGAGTAACAGTTCTGTGTCCCTGAGTAACAATTCTGTGTCCCTAAGTAACGATTCTGTGTCCCTAAAGTATCTGTGGCCCTAACTCTGTCCCTAATACAGAGAGGTCTGTCTCTCTTGAATGACCGGAGGCAAATGGAGAATTGTAAGATGGCTGCAATTTATAGCTCCACCATTACACAGTGCTGGCTGGCTGGCTGCTGATTGGCTAATGCGATCACATGTCATGAATGAATGCATTATGGGTCAGCGCGCCTTGTCTGCGCGCCTTCCCAGAGATCCCCGCTCCGTCGCCACACATGTCGCCGCCATTTTTGGAAAAATTTCAATTCGCGCATCCGAAGTCTGCTAATTTTCGGATTTGGCGCGAATCGAATTTTTTCTAATATTTGAAACGAATTCCACTTCGCCAAGTTCGATTCGCTCATCTCTAGTCAGCACCTTAAACATATGAGACAGCACTCCTGATTTTTAAACTTTAAATAAGATCAGTGAAAATGCTTTTTACATGTCACTAATTCTTTTAACATTCCCCTTGACTTTTTATCAATTTTAATAACGGCAATGGGTGTGGCTTAAATGTCCAAACCAATAGTTACCCCAGCAAGCGTTTCACAATTTTCAACTTACAATTTTCTTAGATTAATTTTTTTAGAATGAGCAGTATATTTTACATGTTTTTATTTTTTTCCCTACATTAAATTTATCACATTCCTAAATTGGAAAGTGCAAAACTTCTGCATATTACACTTCTAGCTTTACGATTTTAAGTGATTAGTTACCCCAATCATGTCTCAATTTGTTTAAACTTCTAAAAGTCAAAAATCAAAATTTAGTAATTTAAGGTCAAAATGTGTTTATCTTCTAGATGTTGCCATGACCAACATGGAATTGACTCGTTACCTTTACTTGCAACATCACATCACCTTAAAACATAAGTAACAAACACAAAACAAATCATTATGCCACTGATATTGAATCAGTATTGTCAGATATTTTGCTGACACGGCACTTTAGGCACATTAATACAGTCAACCCAGACAATACAACATACAATCCATGGATCTCACACATCTTATCACAACAACATACTCTCACAATTAGCTTGCTTAAATTCTAGACAAAAATAGGAGCACATTTCTCTAATAAGGCTGCATTCTCTCTCTTTTTTTTTTTCTGGACTGTACCTCAAATATATATATAGATCTCATTATTTCCTTTTTTTTTTTTTTTTTTTTATCTGGTGTTCATACTTACAGTAGGCTGTAACCCATGCCTCTAGTTAGGTCATTGTAAGTAGGCAGGGCGGTAGTATAAGCTATCATGTGCTTACAGTTATTTGGCAATATTTTCAGGTTCTTGTTCTTATATAGGACTATAAGTCTCTTTTATTTCCTTTTTCAACAATTTTGTTCACATTGTTCACTCACATTTGTTCAATTGTCTTATCTTTGAAAGTATCTGGGTAGTACTTTTTTTTTTTTTTTTTTTTTTACATTCTTTCAAGAGTTTAAGGTGAAATTTCCCTTCTAGGGGTACTAAACCCCTGTGTGCCTTGGTTCCATTCCTTGAGGGATTCAGCCACTCCTGTTCCAAAGTTATATATCATGTACTTTGGCAATCCAGGAGGAGCTCCCGGTGGTATCACACAGATACCCATTTGGGGTGTACACGGTGGTACAATTCCCCATCTCACACGGTGGTGAGACTTCCTCAAGAATTAATCTATTACTAAGCCCCCACGATCAAATGCAAGATACGATATACCTAGATAATGTCAGAATTCATCTATTACTAGGCCCCCACGATCATATGCAAAGATACGATATACCTAGATAATAGCAGGAACCGTATATCTGGCCCCCAATCCTGGCCAAGGATATATACCAGACTATACTATGAATAAATCAGCCACACAGACTGAACAGGGACACCTCAGTCACATAGGCTGAGGGGATTCAGTTATACAGAGTAAAACAATTCAGGAATGTAAAAAAATAAGTAGTACTTCTTTCTACAAAAAGAGAGACAGTCCACTTATATGTATAAACACATGGCAGTGCATAAAGAGATCAGTACAGTACAACCAAAATTTCTATAGGAAAAGATTATAGAACTTTTTAGAGAAAGTATAGTATCTGACAGCTTTGTTTCCCTAAAAAGTCTTCCACATCAGTTTATAGACACTGCTGTAGAATAGAAAAGACAGTTCCTCTACTTATGGTGTGACTTTATGGAGAGCCACGCAGAAGAGAGAAAAAAAAAAAAAGAAGCTTCATCAATCAAAACTGGTACTAATGTTTCAAGCAGTGCTGTTTTTTAAGCAGCCTGTCACCCATGGCAATGGACCACATGGCCCCCCACCACACTTAGTACCTTATCAGTCATACCTCAAGATATTTTGAGTCAGAAGACCCGATCCCTGACCTGCCCAGTCGCCCGGTAACAGGAACTGCAGAGATCCTACCTAACCACACATTGCACCTGAAATAGGGCAAATCGTTCAGCAGAACACATTCATGCAAAAGGACAGTAATAAGTAACATAGTATGGAAAGTAAAAAAAAAAAGAAAAAAATTCAACAGTCAAGGTTCTTGGAAAGGGTACTTTTCCACAACATCGACTTTACAGAAAAAGGCACAGCACAAGGGGAAATCATAGTAAGCAGAAAGTTAGCTTACCACTGCCAGCAGAGATGACTTCCCAGGTTGTGCTGTCCTTCTGTGTCTAAACGATGTCTGTAGAGTTTCCCTTTCCGGCTCGAAGGACCAAATTGACGGGGAAACCCAAAACTCATGGGGTTTCAGTAACATTTTGACTGCTGAAGCCGGATTGAAAAGTAGATGTTTATTATACAAGCATGTAGCTAGACCTCCATGCAGGGAGAGCAGAACAATACATGGTGTTGGATTCAAAGAAATTCTCTATCTAACTAAGGCTTTCTAATACAATTTATATGCTCTACAGTGGGTGGTACCTAGCTATCTGATCTTTCTTTGAAGAGTCATCTGTGTCTTTGGTGTAACTCATTGAGATGCGAATAGTTATCCAAATGTTATTGTTACTTCCATTGTCCTTTGGGTTTAACAGGTCTTCAAAGGCTGTGATAATAATCTTGTAGACAATAGGTGGTGTGAATGCTGCAGAGCTGGAGGTAGAACTGGAGTGCCAAATGTATTTCATATTTATATCTAGAAATGGCTGCTCCATTTTCCCTTACACATTCAATGTCATTTGATTTTTAATTTAATTATACAATATTTTGTCTCAACCAAGGCTTAATTTTATTGTGTCTTAATTGGCTATTCTGGCTTCAGAAGTATAAAAGGTCTTCACGTTACAATATTTGCTCTGACTCTTCCTTTTAAGTCTTCATAATTGGAGGATGAGTGGTTGGAATGTGTTCACTTCATAGAGATCATTCATTGTTTTTTTTTTATTCGCGAGATGGGGAGTTCAGAAGGTCCATTTACAGGCGTCTAGAAGGTCCAGTTCCAAAGAGTCCAGTAGGTCCAGATACAGGAGTCCTGAAGGTCCAGTTCCAGAGATTCTAGGAGGTCCAGTTACAGGAATCCAGAAGGTCCAATTTCAGAGAGTCCAGAAGGTCCCGTTCCAGAGAATCCAGGAGTTCATGTTCCAGAGAGTCCACTAGATCCCATTCCAGAGAGTCCAGTAGGTCCCATTCCAGAGAGTCCAGTAGGTCCCATTCCAGAGAGTTCAAAGGTCCAGTTCCCAAGAGTCCAAAAGATCCAGTTCCCAAGAGTCCAGAAGGTCCAGTTACAGGAGTCCAGAAGGTCCAGTTCCAGAGATTCTAGGAGGTTCCATTCCAGAGAGTCCATAAGGTCCAATTCTAGAGAGTCCATTAGGTTTCATTCCAGAGAGTCCAAAAGGTCCAGTTCCAAAGAGTCCAAAAGGTCCAGTTCCAAAGAGTCCAAAAGGTCCAGTTCCAAAGAGTCCAGAAGGTCCAGTTCCATAAAGTCTAGAAGGTCCAGTTCCACATGTGTATCAGATGATATTCTAAGGCAGTGGTCTCCAAACTGCAGCCCAGAGGCTCCAAAGAGTCCAAAAGGTCCAGTTCCCAAGAGTCCAGAAGGTCCAGTTACAGGTGTGCAGAAGGTCCAGTTCCAGAGATTCTAGGAGGTCCAGCTCCAGGAATACAGAAGGTCCCGTTCCAGAGATTCTAGGAGGTCCCGTTCCAGAGAATCCATAAGGTCCAATTCTAGAGAGTCCAGTAGGTTTAATTCCAGAGAGTCCAAAAGGTCCCGTTCCAAAGAGTCCAAAAGGTCCAGTTCCAAAGAGTCCAGAAGTTCCAGTAGTCCAGAAGGTCCAGTTCCAGAGATTCCAGAAGGTCCAGTTCTACATGTGTATCAGATAATATTCTAAGGCAGTGGTCTCCAAACTGCAGCCCAGAGGCTCCAAAGAGTCCAAAAGATCCAGTTCCCAAGAGTCCAAAAGGTCCAGTTCCCAAGAGTCCAGAAGGTCCAGTTTCAGAGATTCTAAGAGGTCCA